CGTTTTTTTGGCGCGCACTCCCCCCTCAAAATTAGTATATTTTGGCGCTTAAGGCGTCTTTAGAACATTTTTAGGGTCAGTCGCCAAATATGGATATCTCAAAATAGTACAAAGGGGGACCCTTTGGGTCGGCAGGGGGTCGAACTGGAAAAGAGCCCTATTTTTAAACCTTAAACCTCTCACGTTTTTTTTTCGCGCCAATTCCTCAATTATTATTGGGAGCGTGATTTGCCTTCCTTCAATCAAAAGAATTTAAAATGGAGCCCCCCCCCCCCCCGTCTAACATGATCAATTTTGTGATGAAAATAGGGCTTTTACCATTTCGCTGTCTAACTAGTCTTCATGCCAAATTTCATGACAATCGAGCAATGTGAAATTTGCAAGTAGGAAAAAAGAGCCGAAATGTACTTAGAAAGAAATCGATGTCAAACTGAAAAATGTCTGCACTTCGTTTCTCGATGATTTAAAAATGCCAGCTAGCAGAAGGCCACCATTCAAGAAAAACGCAGATAAAGATCACCAAAAATTTTCATACAACTTTCACAAATAATACTCGTTTTGACAGAAAAATTTTCGCAAACCTGATTGCTAGCATAAATTATCAATATGAGAACAATGATTGCCCGGAAAACAAATAATTATAAGAAAATTAATGCTATACATAAAACTTCAACTTTGAAATTCAATCTTTTATGTCCTCGTTTTGCTCTTTAAACGACGTAAAATGAGCAAAAAACATCAATCAAACAAGTTGACATCATTTAGGCCGAAAAACCTTAAATGCGAAAAAAGCAGTAATTATACAAAACCTGAAAACATTCACCATTCGGACTTTCAGATATGACATTTTCCACGGTTGAAATACATGAGCTATCAAAAAGCGTGCTGTGGAAACTAAGCCAACAAAATAAGCAGATATTCGATAGTCCAAACATGGGAACTTGAAAAAATGAAATAATACGGGTAACTTTTTTTTTCAAAAAGTTCATGTTTAATTTATTACCTTGCATCAATTTATAACTAAAATTATCAGATATAAAAGATATAGGACACTAAAATGCAAGAAACTAAGGCCAAAAACTAACATAAAAATTAACCAGAAGCAGTGGGCTGAGAAAAAAGACATATAATTCAATTTTTTTCTCTAACAGAAACGTTAGCTGGGTTTAAAAAATACATTCTAAGTGTTCAAAAATTGAATTTTAAGAAGTAAACAGATCTTTACAAAATGAGAGAAAAATGATAAATGTACATGGAAACATACTAAAACACAAAAGCGAAGTACAACTTCGCACCATTTGCGTACCACTAAAACAGCATAGCAAGCTAGCAGACAGGAAAGAAAAGAATAGACACTATGTCACACAAATTTTTAAAAAACGCCAAAAAACTTAAAGATTTTGTCTGGACTGATGTTCTATTTGCGGAAAACTTGTCCAGAAATACAATCCACGCCTTCAATAATGATAATTCAATAATATTTACCGAGCTGCAACTGAGCCGACAAAACTTGGGTAAATTCCCATAGAACAATTGTCATGAAAAATTTCGAACCAATTTTTTATATTTTTGAAAAACGATTCCCTTGAAACGCCTCAAAATTAGGTCACTAAGCAATAAAATAGAAGCCAAAACCATTTGGGCAGAATAAAGGTTATAGTTGAACAAAAAAGAAGTCAGAAAAGCAACTACGATGTAAATTCCGTTCAGCAAAAAAAAACTATTGGCTGATGTGACAATTACGCTGAAGAAACATGAGCAGAAAACTAATAAGCCGACAACTTTTTTTAGACGAAATGATTCCAATTTGAAAAAAAAAAAAAATTCTGTCAGATTCAAACCCAGGACATACCAGGCGTATTCACTACCTCCTGACAAAGAGTGCCGGCGACGCAAAAAATTTGAATTCATTGTGAAACGAAGCTAAATTTATCATTTCAACTTTTGACCATCCTGTGAAAAAAGTTATTTAAAGTAGAAAATGTCTAGTACCCGATTGCAAAACCCTTGCTGATCACAAGAGTAAAAAGGACGTTTTAAACAATGAATTCACCAAATTATTACGGCTTTCTATATCCGCATCTATTGCTGCTTCCAATCGTTATCTTTGCAAGAACTGTAAGCTACAAATCACTTATAAAGGCAAAAAAAACTGATAGAAGATAGAAACTAAATTACCTGCATAAACAAGAACAAAAAAAATAAACTAGTTCCACAGAAAAATTTTTAATTTGTAAGAACAGGACAGCGAAGTAGCTTTCAAGCTTTATAAAAGCTTGTCGATTATCCATTTTAAAAAGTGTACCAGAAACTAATAGAAAAAAAAGAAAACAAGCCGACAGAATTGAAACCGACACCTTTTAAGCTGACAACCATCCGACTACAAAAATCTTGAAGTTCGGCATACTACTAACCAACCCTATTTATGCGGTAAATGCAGGTGTTATATAGTATGAAACGAAATACATTTATCCACTTGAGTAAATTTACCATTCCTCCTAAGTTTACCAATCAGTGAACAAAGATATCCGGAAAAAAGTCTAATAAACGATTGCAACACCCTTTCTGATCGCAAGGGTAATGGAATTGACAAAACATTTCTCAATTATTTTTTAATCAATCCAATCACGCCTGAAAAATTTCTAAAGGATATATCACTCGACTCAATCTGAAGTTTGTCGGTGGTACCGTACATGTTTTAATTAGACACAGAGGCGAAGTTGCACTTCGCATACACAAGCAAAAAAATTACCGATAACGCTACCGTGAAAAACTGAATTTCTCAAGTGACGCACGCCAATTATGAGTCTACATTTATTGCTAAATGATGCAAGCCAATTATGAGGCATTAGCAGTACCAATCAATTAGAAAAGAAAGAAAATTAATAACTAGCATGCCTCAATTTATAGAGCGGACGCATTTCAACTAGCATACGAAAAAGTTCATTAAAAACTCCGGGTTCGAACCCTCTTATTTTGTTGCGGGTCTCTTTCCCTATCTCTACTCTACAGATCCATAAAACCTTGAAGCTAAAAGGCTATTTGTAATATCATAGTCTGTGTTAATATCCTTAGCATTGGCTGTACTTAATAGCTGGTTATTGATCAAAATGAACACATTTTGTCGCAACAATATTTGCGTCGCAAGATTATTTGCAACTTAGGTCAAGAAATCGGACAAGAAATCAAAATATTGACTTATTTTTTGGGGGGTCATAACGTTTTGGGCGAAAAAAATTGGGAGCAAGCGCTAAATTAGTGGGCTTCGCACAACCCGTTGAAACCAAAATCTCCGGTTTGGGAGGTAGTTTTCGGAAATTTGACTTTTCCGAGAGCCAAAATTATTGGGATAAAAAATAGGCGTAGCCGCTGATGCAGGGGAGCTTATCACAACCCGTCTTTTTGATTAAAATCAAACACTCAGATTCTGCACAGTAGTTTTTGAGTATATTCAATAAGTTTCAAAAACGGTCAAAAAATCGAAAAAAACTTATTGTGTAAAATAATTTGGGCAAAGCCCCTTCTGCAAGGGAACCTCACACAACCCGGTCTACCCATTGTACCCAAAATCTGATTTGGGAGGGTAGTTTTTGGGAAACCAAAAAAATTCAAAAATCGGTCAAAAAACCAAAATTGACTTTTCCGAGGGCCATAACTTTTCGTAGTAAAAATGGGGGCGTAGCTGCTAATGCAGAGGAGCTTCCCACAACCTGTTCTATCCATTGAACCCAAAATCTCCGACATGGCAGGGCAGCTTTCGAGAAAATGTAAGAAATCCAAACAGGTCAAACATTCTCCTACAAACTTCTAACCCACAAGGTCTGTAGAAAGTGGGTTAGGTAAAAAAGAGACTAGTGGATTATGAAGGCACACAGGGGAGTAGGCAGACTTCCCAATAGTACCTTTTTTTGAAAATCAGTAGAAAATTTTTTTGAGGAAAGCTAACTTTTTGAAAACTGAAAAATTTTTCCATAGCGTCTGAAAAAATAAAAACCCGATCCCATGCATTATCATAAAACCTGCTTTCATCAAACAGGAAAAAATTGAAACTCATTTTGTTTGTCATGTGACGAAGTTTTCAAACGGCACATTCTAAATCCGTAATGGGACAAGTCGTAACAACTCGCATTAAAAAGCATTTAGGCATTGTTGCAACCGTGCCAACGTGTGGTGAATCACTTAGCCATGGAGCCTGTCTAAAGGTAGTTTATCGGTGATTTATCTCACTGGTCATTCCTGGCATACAGAGAATACTGCGCACATTCAAACTCAAAAGGAGGTTCGTAATTGGCATAAAAAACGCTCGAAACAAATATCAAATCAATTTTGAGAAATTGTTTCATTTGTCAACTAGATGTTCGATTTCGGAAGGATGATCGGCCTTCATACTAAATCCTTATACAAACAGTGAATTTACTAAACTTTTCTGACACTATTTCTATTTTTCGTTTGCAATTTAAATTTAAATCTTTTAGCAGTTTTTTTGCCAACTTTGGGTACTTATCGCTATTTTTTTGAAAAAATGGAAATCATTTTTTGGGCATATCTATTTGCAACAACCAATTTAAATTTTTTTAAATGGAAATCACTGCACAGAGTATTAAAAACACTGATTAACCTTCAGAGCTTTTCTCGATTTTTAAATTTAATTTTGAGTTAAATGAAACACATTCCGATTCAATATTTTTGTTACAAAAATTTTTTCAACGTTTTTTTCAGGTGAAGAAAAATATGTCTTTAATTGAAAATGATGGAAACGTAAAATCAGCAAGCACAGGGCAGAAAAAGATACTATCCGTCTATCGATTTCGGTGTAAAACAAATTTGTGCAAGCGGGTTTATGAAGAATTACATGCGAACTTCAGTGTTTTTGGTTCATGTCCAACCTTTTTGGCCGGGCACTGTTTTACGGCGGAGTGTCTGATTACTAAATTATCATTTATTATCACTAAATTATCACTTATCTCTCAGCTGGAATAAAAAAACTGGCTAGAGGAGAAGATTTTTTTCTTGATAAATGTAGCAATCTATTGCAGTTTTTCTTTAATTTACAGCCAATGTAAATCAATAATGTAATCTAACTAATGCTTGACAAATGCAAACATGAAGACAAGACAACATTCATCAAGCGAAGCAGTAAATAGAAAACTTAAAGCGTCGTTTTCACTGAAGGCCAAGACCGGAGAGAGAGAGATAGAGGGGAGAGAACATGAGAAGGAGAGACAAAAATAATTTGGGATAGGGAGGAGAATTGGGTAGTGATTGATAACCAAACTAGCACATTAAACTGCACTGCGCTTATTAGCTCCAATACAAACTGTGACCGGTCAATACACTAGATTTACTAAATTGTTAGGCTTCTCATTTGATCTTTATAATAAATAAATATATTTCTATTAACTTCATGAACGCGAACATTTTTTCTTTAAAAAAGAACGATCAAATTTCAAGGTTTGCAAATTGATTTTCATACATTTTACCGCATAATTAACATCATCGATAAAATGCTGGACGAGAGATCATTATTTATTAAAGTTAAAACATTTATTAGCGTTTCTTTTCAAGGTCGGAATATTTACTAAAGTTTGGACAATATTTGTTAATATCCTACTAGACAGGTCACAGCTGGAATAGTATCACGAAAATTTGAATCAATCCTGAATAAATTTTCTACTGAAATCTACTGTTTCTTAATTTCGAAGGAAATTCCGTTCGTGTTTACCATCACTACTTCGCAAAATCAGAACTGAATCAACGTCCGTCAAAGTGATCCAGTCTAACTTTTGACTCCCTAATAAATCTCAAAAATGAAGTTGAAGAGTTCGCACCACTTAAAAATAAGTTTCAGGATATATAAATACGCCGATATAAATTAACCGTTAACCGGCATTGCACTATTGTAAACACCAATAAAACACTGCGAAAAATAACTGCTGCTAAAATCTAACTAGATGCAAATTTGTACAAAAGGATAATTCGACTAAACCAAACAAAAATGGTTTTCTTACTGCACTGTTTTATAGCTGCCTTTAGAGGTTTTTCCAAAAACAATCGGTTTGCTTCTTTCCTCGATCCACGCTCAATAAAACATGCTCATTATGTCATGTTTCAAATCGAGGCTTTCTTGAAAGCATGATCTGTATTTGAAGCAAGTATTATTCATCATGAGTTCGACAAACCAAAGATTTAGAAGATTTACAGAATGTTCTAGGTCAGTAATGGGCAGCAATCAAAACCGTTATTGCAAAACTAACTCAACTGATAAGCTGTTAGCTGCGCTATTATCAGAACCATGCAAACTATTTGACCAAAGGTTTAACCAAGTGTCATTTATGAATGAATGATCGATATCTCGAAAGTAAGCTGTTAATGGGACACTTGATTAACTAACTCTAAACTGACTGTAATATCAACTTTATTGTAAATTAGAGTCACATAAAATTAGTAGAAACAGGATGTGACATCTACCATTGCATCTTGTTAAATATTTCATAAACCAAAATTTAATTCCCTTCACCATTCAAGCAAGATGCCGATAATTGATGTTGATTAAACAGATAATAGAACAAATAGAAAAATAAACAACTTGATCAACCTCATCCAAAAAAATCAATAAACTTTGCAACAGTTAGCAGCAACACCTGAGTCAAGAGTCCAGAAATACTGTTATCGTGGTTAGGTCAGACATACTCTGCAGACTCTTGACGCTTTAAAGAACTAAAGCTGGAACAAAGGTGATTTACGGTAGCTCTTGGCTAGTTTTGATAAATGTCAAATTTCAGGTTCTAGTCTAGCAAGCTGAGAAATTGTTCAACTGATCGGCACTTCGGTTGTTGTTAAAATGCTGCGGTAATCCAGAGCCCTTTCTATTTTGAGCGGGACCATTTGGGGGGTATTTGTGCATTAGGGATCCGGGAAACGCTCCTTGTGATCCGATGTTGTACTGCATTGCAGCTCCTCGCGACTGCTGGTTGTTGGACGGGAAACCCGGCCTTGCTAGACTTGGAGGTCCTCTCGGTCCAGAGGCGTCAAAATTGTGCATTTTAGGGTTCTGCATTCCTCTATTACTCAAATCTGACATGTTAAACACTTGCTGCCCATTCGGAGTCTGCACTTGCGGCGGGAAAGTTCCCATGGGGGACCTCCAAGCAGCATTCGCATGGTTAAAGCGGTTGAAGTTACCCCTAACTAAATTTTTATTGTTAGGCATGTTTGAGTTGTTACAACTCGGACGAATTTGGAACTGAGGCCTAGGAATACTGGGAGGGTTTTTGGCCCCTGGATTTCCAAAACCGGTAAATCTGGAACCTTTCTCTGCTTTTGTGGGGTCGAAAGCATTCGCTCCAGGTGAAATCTGGGATGTTTGTTGTTTTGCTGCATTTTGACGATTGTTTTTCACAATGGCCTCCATGTTGTTGTAGTTGTGCTGAGGCAACTGTGCCCTGTGCATCGTCCTGGGTGACTTTATCCGATCACGTGCAGCCTCAAACTGCAACTGCTCAACCAACTCCTCCGCTTTGGGCCGATTTTTAGAATGATAGCACCAGCAATGCTTCATTATTTCGTACATGCTGTCGGGACAACCAGTGGGCTGCTTCAGGATTTCAGGCTTCAAGATGTGAGGCACTACGTCTTCGTTGAGGATGTTGTCGTAAGGCTGAGTCCCGAATGTGAAAATCTCCCAGAGCACAATTCCAAACGAGTACACGTCGCTGGCTGTCGTGAAAGTCCCATATGTTATGGCTTCAGGAGGCATCCAACGAACAGGAAGCAGAGATTTACTTTTCATACGGTAATAGTTCCTGTTGTATATATTTCGCGACAGTCCAAAATCTGATAACTTCACCGTAAGAATTCCACTTTTGGCGTCTTCGCTCAGAAGGACATTACGAGCTGCTATATCACGATGGATGTGCTGTCTCTTTGCTAAGTAGGCCAGTCCTTTTGCAATTTGGATGCAGATAGAGTGAAAAAGAGGCAAATGTTTCTCAACAGCTCGTACAATGATATCCATGGCCTCCCGCTCTAGCTCTGCATTATTCGGGGTCGATGGACAGAGCTTGGTCAGATACTCGTGCAAATCACCACTTGGCATAAACTCAAATATCATGTACAACGGCTCCTGAGGTGATCCTTCAAAGCAAACACCGTAGAACTTAACAATATTTTCGTGACTGTATTTGTTCATCAACTCTGCCTCTTGGCGGAAATTTTGTCTCTCAGAAGAGGTAGCTTCAACTTTCAGAGCCTTGACGGCAACTAACATTGCGTGGTCACTTGACTTCCGGATTTCAGCTTTGTGGACTATTCCAAACTCACCCTGACCGAGTCGCGAAAGGATAGCAATCTGACTGCGTTCATAATTCCACATACCGGTCTCATCTTTGCAGGCATAATTATATTCCGAATTCTTAATGTTTTTGAAAAACTGTTCTTCTGGCAACTCTTTTTTACGGCGACATTTCACACATAGCAAAATAAATATGAGTAGTGATGCGAGAAGAATCAGAGACGCTACTGCGCTGAAAATTAAGACCATTGAAGTCGTCGACAAGTACACCCATGGCGAGAAAGACGGCTGGGGATTTTCGTCATCAACACAAGGACTGATGCTGCAAAATCCCCAATCGCTCTGGCTATAAAAACACCATGGCCTTGATTTGCGCTGCAAAGTCGATACATTCGCAGGATTCCTGCAGAAATTACTTGCGGAGTATAGCTCAATGTACTCAACAGCGTTAGAAGAATAAGTATTCAGGTGTATATACTGAACAGCCGAAGTCCATTTTAGACATTGTTCTTTGTTTTGCGTATGTGAAGCATCTCCTCGGTAAAACTCCCCACCGTCCGTTTTGTTGTAGCAATCTCTAGTGGCGTTTTCAGCTTTAATAGCTCTTTTCGCCTGAGCAGCCTGAATTGACACACAGCTATCAGTGTCTGTGAGAGCGCTACATGTTTTTCTTCCATTTTCGAACGTAGCACCGGTATCGAATTCTAATGCTTTGAAAACTGCTGTAAGGTTACCCATGAAAAGGTCAAACTGGACAGCCACAGTCTTATTGTCAGTATACTTTTCACGTATTGCCTCCCACCCTGTTCCCGAGCATAGATCGAAAACATCAAGACAGTCTTGTTTGCACAGTTTATTTATTCCTAAAATTTTGTTCTTTTTTTCCTCTGAGTTGCATTTTGGATAAAAAATAACACACATGGCTGACTTCAACAGTATCCTGCACTCTTCAGAAGCTTCGCTGAACGCAGTCTCCAGATTTTTAGCATGATGAGCTTCAAAATTTTCTATTTTATTTTGAACTTCTACTAAATTGGGCTTGACCCAATCATAATGAAGAATATCTTTTGAGCAAATTTCATCTGATGGAGCTGGTGAACACATTTCCATTTCATTTTCCAACTCAAAAACTATTTTGGCGCATGAGTTTTCGTCACATAGTTTTTCGCTAAATTTCGGATGTGACCTCGGACATGCACACAGTGTGTATTCTCCAAAGTCTCCAGTAGATACTTGGCTAAACTTAACGGCTAAACGATCTGCTCCATCTACTTTCCTAACAGAGTGAAAAGCCATTCTCGACTTATCCTCTAAGGTAAACACTTTGAAGTCCTTTTTATCAATTACTGGTGTAAAAGTCAGCATCAATCCGTAATAATCTGTTAGCTCCTGTTTACTGTCAAAATCCGACTGAATATCAATGTCAACAAAATGCATCGCCTGGTTCGGTTTGGCCTTTTCTGCTTTTTTACGGTCAATGATTGCAAAATTCAAATCATGCTCCGTTGCGACTGATAAAAAGTTACTGAAAAAGACGATTGCTATGAGTAACTCCATGTTCGTAAGCTCACATGACAATCCTGAAAAAAATCTCATCAATCTTCAAGCTAATTGGTAGAAAAAACATATTGTTCCGACCGTCTTCGGCTATCTCACAGAAAGCTCTTGGTGGATTAAGCGTGATACCATATTCAATCCCAATCGGCCGTGATTCGCATTCTGCAGAAATCGGTCGAAAAACAACAGGTCAAATTATTTTTAGTGTTCTAAATACTTTAAAAAAAACTAAATTACAAAAGGGGCCCTTCCGTTTAGTTACGGTAAGTGCACAAGCTGGATAGGGCCATACCACCGATATAAAAATGCATATATATCAGCAATGTTGTGATAAACTCATTAAATAGTTTCAGGCCGGGGTTGCCTCATATTTCAATGATCCACATTATTGGTGCAAGTTCTCTATATCACGCCCTTCACCCGAAGAACAGTGACGATCAGGAACTATTCCAACTAGCTGACCAATTGCGAAAATACGTAATCCGCGACCGTGGTGTAAGCCTACAACCGAAAGCCAAAAATCTGAAACTACACTCGCTTGAAATCATCATAAACAACGATTGCAAGCCAAAAATCTGAAATTGCATCAGCCGGATTTTTTCGAACTTGAAATCATCATAAACAACGATTGCAACCTGTCCGCTCTTCTAAGCAAAAAGCGAAAACAGAAACCATCACAAAAGCAACGCGAGAAGCAACGGGAAGCGAAACAACAACGGCTAGGAGAATCCCGCTGAATAGGTTAGTAGTGGTAGTAGTAGAAACCTGGGCACAAAATTATTGTCCCAGTCTTAAACAACTGTACACAAACAAAGAACTGGACTTCACTGTCCCGGTCTTTACGTTGGTACTTTATTATATCCTCTTAAGAACTGGACTTCATTGTCCCGGTCTTTTCTCCCCAATTTAAGAACTGGACTTTGTTGTCCTGGTCTTATATCCCCTGACTAAGAACTGGACCTTGTTGTCCAGGTCTTAGACTCTATCTCTATCTCTGTTACTACTTCGATCTAGTATTTGTTCTATAAGTATATCACATCATCTCAAGAAAACACCCTTAAAACCTACAAGCGAACATTAATCAAAATGCGAGAAAACTGCAACAGCTGTAACAGAAAACTCAAAATGGGACCTAAGTTCTCATTTTATACATGTGACAAGGTCCTACATCTATCCCCTGCAGGGATGTCGAATACTCGGATTTTTTGATATTCGTTATTCGCCGCGGCCCAACTATTCGACATTCGACTTCGGCCGAATAGTGCCCTTACTATTCGGATTCGGCTTCGGCCAAATGTTACTACTCGAACAACTATTCGGATATTTGGTTATTTTCTAAAAAGTATTGAACATAGCATTTTTCAAGTAGAATTGGCTGGGACTTGCGTAATAATGTAAAAATCGCGCCATTTTGCCACTCCTTTTTTTTTCTATACTCGCACTTAGCCATCTTAAAAAAAAACAGAAAAATATTGTGAAACAAAACAGTAAACCAATATTCGGAATATTCGGGTTTTTTAGCAGTGGACCCTGGATTATTCGGTATTCGGCAAAAAAAAAAAATATTCGGATTCGATATTCGGATTTCAAAATTTTAATATTCGGATTCGGCTTCGAAGTGCCGAATACTCGGTATTCGGGTCGAATACTCGGATTCGAATCGATATCCCTGATCCCCTGAATGCACTATGTTCACAAACGATGAAGTCAAAGTCCTGATCAAACTGAATGATAACCTCCTCCACATCTGCAATGACTGCAAACCCAAACGTTACAATCTTGTCAAAAACAAAACTACAACAAGTAACAAACTTGACGAACAACTTGATAACCTGCAACTACAAATGAAGGTTCTCACCGAAAAAATGGAGCAATCCAGCACTGTCATCACTCAAGTACAAGCCGATATGAAAACACTTCAAGAAAAACCCAACAATTTCCGAGCAGCCGTGGGAAACGTAAACCCACGAAGAGTGGTTAATTCGCCAACTGTACCAAAAGCTCAAATTGGTATCCGAATACGAGGTGTTCCCGAAAGCAAAGAAAAAAGCGACATTGAACGAATGCAAGAAGATCTGGGGACAAATGACAGAATACTTGCATTCCTCCATTTGACGACCGAAAATTATCCAACGCAACTCGGATTGGAAAATTCAATCCCAATAAGGGGCCTCGTACCCTGCTGTTCAACACCGAGAGTAGCATAAAAAAAAATTTGATCCTAAAATCGACTTCCAAACTAAAAGACTTCTCGGAACTTCGGGTCTTCATCAGTCCCGAGTTATCCAAGGCGGATGCCGAAAAGGAAAACAATTGTCCCAAGAAATGGAGGGAACTGATAGTAAAAAAAGCAAGATAAAAATCAGAAATCTTAAACTAGAATTGAAAGAAAACGAAAAATGGATTGTTTATGAAGAAAGTAAAACTTCCCAGCAAACCGATAATTATGCAGACCAAGCTGGTGATGTTGCCATTACCGGATGACTAAGACCGATGAAAATGTTGATATTCAACACCAGAAGTATCCTGGATATAAACAGGAGAATGGACTTGTCAAACGCAATAGCAAACTCAGAATACGATATTATCTGTCTCTGTGAAACCTGGCTCACAAAAGACGTAACAACTGCCTCGCTCTTCCTAGATAACTATCAAGTATATCGCAATGACCGAGAAACATCAAAAAACAGAAAAACGAAGCACGGTGGTGTACTCATTGCCATCAAAAATGAAATCTCACATGACTTACATTCCATTGAGAATCTCAAGTCTGATTATCTCATCATAGAAATACATTCCAATAAAAGATCAATTATCTTAAGCTGTGTTTATAATGCACCCACTCCTAGCACCTACCAATGGTCCACTGAAAGTTTCTTAACTTTGATGAATGAAATGGCAAATCTCAAACTAGCCAACAAAAATGACCTCTGTGACTTAAAACTCACCGGTGACATCAACTTCTCACAAACATACTGGGAAGCACTCTCCTCATCTGACATATACGAGAGTCAACTACTGGACAAATTAGTTGAACTAAATTTTTCACAACATGCACCAACTCAACTAGACGTGCTGCTTTGCGACAATCCAGAATTAATTTCACAATGTCAAATCGACAGGAATATTCGAGATAAACTAACTAGTCAGTTCTCTGACCACAAACCACTCTACACCACAATTGCCGCCTTTAGCTGCATTAACCTTCCAAAAATAACAAATCATCGATATGCTTCCAAACGAACAGACTGGGACAACTTAAATTCTTCAATAGAAACTGAACCGTTTATCCCGTACTGCTAAAGTAACGTGAACGAAATTATCCGACAATGGTACGAATGGCTGTGGGGAAAAATCGAAAAGTTTGTACTAGGAATAACTGAGCATCGATCAAGGTTACAACCCTGGATCACACCATCCACCTCCCACCTCATCAAAAAACTTAAAACTTCAAACAATTAAAAGAAAACCAAAACAAGGTCTCGAAAGACTATTAAAGATCAAAAAACTTGAAAAATATATTCAAAGATTTTCCGAAGATGACCTAGCGGAATATGAAAAAACCGTCCTAGAAGGAAGCACTTTCAGCAAAATTCAAAAATACCTTAAATGCATACGCAAGACCCCAACAATTCCTTCGACGGTCAAAGACGGAAACACTGAATCACTGAAAGAGAAAAATGTGAATTATTCAATGACTATTTCGTCAGCGTGTTTGGCACAAAAGAACATCATACCGGTATCCTCTTTCCAAAAAGTGAGCCGAATAGATTTATTGTTGACCAAAGTCAAGTTAGCGAAATAATGAGGCAACTTAATGTCAATAAATCAATGGGACACGACAACATTGGCAATCTCATTTTGAAATCATGTCACAAAACTCTAAGCAAATCACTTACCCTTATATTTCAAACCTGCCTTAACAAAGGAATTTTTCCTGAAATATGGAAAATTAGTGAAGTAACCCCTGTTTTCAAGGAAGGGAGTAAAACCGATGTCAGTTGCTAAAGACCAATCAGCCTACTCTGCTGCTGCTCAAAATTGCTTGAAAAAATAATATTTGACAAACTCTATACTAGAGTGAAATACAGATTACATGAAAGTCAACATGGTATTCGAAAGCGTAGATCCACCACAATTCAACTTCTTCTATTTCTTGACCGAATATACGAATTGAACGATCAACAGGGTGTACAAGAACTTGCAGTTCTATACTTGGATTTTGCCAAGGCATTCGACACTGTACCTCATGATATTCTGCTTACGCAGATCAAAATTTTTGGAATTGGCGGGAAATTGCTGTCACTGATATATTCATACCTCAACAACAGAAAGCAATGCGTTAAGATTGAAGACTGTAGCTCAACCCTAAATAAGTCACCAATGGAGTTCCGCAAGGATCAATTCTGGGACCGCTGCTGTTCTTACTTTTCATAAACGATCTACCTGAAACCATGAATGACACGACAGTTTGGGGTATGCAGATGACTTTAAGGCCATTCTACTAAATCAAACTTCCCTTGACACTGCAACTCTGAAAATAAAGAAATGGCTACATGAAAACAAAATGCAACCCAACATCAAAAAATCAACGCTCCTCGGCATCAAAGGTGATTTAAAAGCTAGTCTCCTGAACAAAAATCTTTCCTCAGTAAACTCACAGCGTGACCTAGGACTGATTGTGTCCAACAAGCTCACATGGAACGAAAATTTCTCTCGTCGGACATCCAAAGCAATTAGTGCTCTCTTCCAGATTAAACGAAGTCTGACTATGAATAGCAGTGTCACCACCAGGCTTAACGCATATACTGGGTATGTAGTACCCATAGTAACATACGCATCCCAAGCATGGAATCCTAGCAGATCGAACATGGAACAACTCGAACGAGTTCAAAAGTTAGCAACAAATTGGATTTTGGGGACAAGCAAAACTTATACTGAAAGACTGAAGGACCTGAACCTTCTTCCTTTGAACCTATACATGGAAATGCACGACATTTTAATACTAATAGCCCTGCT